ACAACAAAGTGTTCACAAAATCAAGCTCAGCATAACGCACGAAGATAAAATCTTAAATCACTGAGCAGAATAGAGCGCGATAAAAAGCAATTTCGTTCAATCCTTCGCATTTCCTCTCAACTGTGGGGCTGTTCTCCAACCAGGGATATACTGAACATCTTGTAAAGCTGAATGAAAGCTTTTCCTCAAAGACTAGTCTCATCATATCCCTTTCGTTTCCTCCAGGTAACTCAAGTCTCCTGGTTGTTCAACATCGCATCAACATCAACTTTAACTAAGAGAACACCAAGCTAAGAGCCTCTTTGCAGGCTGGTATCTAACCAGGGGTAGATTCATGTGAAGGTTAACCCTCTCAAATATCAATAATTTATCAACAACACTTATCTTTATGGATTTCGTTTTTGGTTTTGTTTGCATATGATGACGTAGATAATGATTTCATAAAAGATTTCCAATACCTCCCTACTGGTCCCGACAAGGGGAGGAAGGTTCATCCTCCTTTGCAGCCACCATTTGAGATTATGACTCAACATGCTCCCTCACTCCCTCGATGCATAGGGTGAGTTACGTGACAATTTTGTGCTTAAGACAGAGGAGTTTCAGCAAAACAGATTACCACTGTATTTTAAGGCTTACCTTTGCTTGACCAAATGTAACTTTAGAACACAATTTTGCAATATCTGCCATGCACTTCACCATCATCACAGGATCAAATTCGACATTTTCCGACTGAAAAGGAAAAATATCGCTCGACTTAAAAAATAATAACTTGCTTACCCTTTTAAGCCTAAGAGTGACCAGCATCTAATTTCTCCCTATAGTAACACTGGTAAATCATTGATTAGGATCATGAGAATTGAGGAAATGATCACCAACCCTAGAAGCTTTGATTGTTAATCGAATTCTCATCGTCAGTAACAAAAGAAATGTACAGAGATGAGTATGGAGAATATTGAAACTGATATTGGGGTTTAAAGGGTTAACGAGAGGGAAAAGGTTGGAGGAGAGCTAGGGAGGGGTAGGCAGGTAGCTGCCCAGATACTGATATTGATCCTATAAACTTACCTCAATCTCCTTCTCTATCTTCAAGTGTTTGCGACAAGTATCAGAGATGACATGTTCTTCTTCGCCAATAACAGCATCTCGGATCTTTTTACTCAAACAGACAACAAGGTCATGTCTGGAAAGAAAAATCGTTATCACCCTTGAATCAAATGTAAAGGTCATGAGAAAAAAAGGAAATTATC